AGCAACTTTTTTCTCAGTCAGGGAGTTAAATTGAGTTCCTTTTGCTTTGTAAGGTTAGTTATTGTTTAAAGAAAGTCTCCAGAAATCTAAAGCAGTTGGAAAATGAAAAGGCGTAAAACTCACAGAGGTTAATTTCACTTGAATTTCCTTGAGATAAATCACAACTTTTCACTAATTGATGCCAGTGTGGAATATCTTTAAAGAAAAAGAGAAGAAAAAAGCCTTTGCATCAAAAAAGATGAAGATTTCACCAACACATTTTTGTTCCATTAATGACTTCCTGAACAAAGACAAACAGAAGTAGGATGCAGGAAAAGGCTGACATTGATATTTGTAATGAATGCAAGTATCTGTACCTAAAGAACCCCCAAAGGATCTTTCTCTCAAAAAGCATAGTCTGTTTACATGAATTCTAATATTCTCTTATCATCAGCCTTATTAGGATTGGGAAGTTTAAGGATTTGCAATAAAGTTAGGTGCACCAAGACTGCATAGGGTGTAAATATATGCACATCTTCACAGTAAATGATAGATCATGGTATAACAGTAAGGACTGGTAGAATGTACATAGCTAAATCCTTAGAGCTCTTGGAAAACCAATGCCCCCACAAGAAGGAGAACAAGGCTGTGGTGAGGAGCTGCCAGTAGGGTTTAGGTGTTGTTAGTCAATGATAGATGAAACCAGGATATCACCCTGAGCAGTGTTTTATATAAAGACTGATGTAAAATCAGGCATATATCGCTGTCCAGAGCTCTGTGCTGCTGAGCTGGTTTTCTTCTCAGCTAACACTGAGACTGCTTAACCAGTGTATCAGGTGCACCACTGTATGGCTTCAGGTCTCGAGTTCTGCTAAAAAGGAAAGCTGTGAAGAATATATAATAATAAAATGAAATTATCTTTTCGTCTTTTTGGTCTTAGAGCTCATGAATATATTTCTGGTTTAGGAATTAGAAAACAAAGTGTTTCTATTTTTGCATCTTGTCCTACAGTCAGACATTGCTTTTGCTTAAATTGCAGAAGAAAATGCAAGGGAACTTATCAGGCTGGGAATGATCATAGAATATCCACTTCAACATAATATAAGTTTGTGTCTGCAAAAATTGCCTCTAGGTATTTGTTCATATATTTTGTTAAAAGCAATTATTACATCAGTCATGCTGTAATATTATCCCTGATCTTGATCCACTGACTTACAGTGAGAACTAGTTATCACTTTGGAAATACACCAGCTCCCATGTTAAATTGCATTATGACACTAGTTTACCTATGTCAAAATGGAGTGAGAATGTCAACTTGCAGTTGGCAAAGTACTGTGAGGGCTAAAAAGACATTATTTTTAATCTGTGAGCTGTTCCTACCTTTCAGTGAAGGACTCTAGCAATTCTACCCTTTCACTTTATGACTGAGTTGTTTTATCATGGCTAAAATATTTTGAAACAATTCAGAATTCATTTGCAGATTGTTACTATCTATCTTGCATCTTAAGTTTACAAACGATATTTAAAAATTAAAACTAGCTAAAGTGTGATCCATGGACTGGAAACCCACCATTTAAGCATACACAGAGAATGTAATGGCTTGCCATAGCAATCTTCTCTCCATCTTTTCAGTATCTCAGTGTGCCTTAGACCTTATTATTTTCAATCACCTCATAGAAGTGAGCAGGCTTCCTGATTAATAAATGAAATCTGTATAAAAATGTGCTGGCAACAAAAGACATACCCAGGACATATACTGTCATAAAAAAATGAATCATCACTTAAAATTAGGAAAAGTTATTTCCAGCATTAACGCTGCTCATGACAACCTATTTTGGCAGAAAAAAAAAAATCACAAGATATATATTTTAAAACACTGCACTGCTCTGTCTTATATAGATTCTCCTCTCCCACCCTAGTACTTGAGTGCCTTCCAGAAACACATTAAGCAACATGACTAATGTCTGTCTCATCTTCATTCTTTTACTTGATGCTGAAAAATTACATTATTTTTCAAAAACTACCTGCAAGTTGATGAAATACCATCTTTGCAATGAACATAAAATTTTTACATTACTGTGAAGACCATAGCAAAATTCAACCTTTTTCAGAAGAAGATACAGTTTCTACTGATGTAGGTGAACAAGTACTCAGTTATGCCAGGACACAGTTTCTATAGATAAGCATTGCAAAGCAGACTACTTTCTTGATATATGGGAGATTTGCAGATTAAAACAGCAAGAAATCCTTCATAGCATCACTCATTTTGCTGGATGGGAGTTGATTGAGAAATTAGCACAACATGGGAGATCTCTTTCTGTCTGGAACTAAAAAGGTATCCAATTTTGTAGTGGCTGTTGATTTATTATTCTGATGCTGCATGGGGTTACTGATGCAGACAGCTCTCTTAACTGTCTTTGGTGTCAAAGTGTACAAAAGACTATCACTCGAACTTTTTAATGCCATAATTTACCTGTAGCAGTAGGTCTCAAAGACTAGAGACCTGTAAGAACACTAAAAACTAAATAAATGTGCTGCTGTTTAGAGGACATTAGCTTTCCTACAGAATTAACATGTATGGCATCACATTTGGTATTAGCATGAAATTTAAGCTTGTAGAGTTACTGGAAATGTCTGTACCACAGTATAAATAAAGATTGTGACCAGCATGGACCACACTCTGCTGGATGCTGTACAAGCAGAAAATAAATATCTACCCCTCCCTGAAAAGTTTGGTCAGCTTCCAACAAGCTGACTGTGAGACTGCTAAATAATACACCCACACAAAGAAAAAGTAAGCTAATAATCTCAGACAAGAGGAGCTGTCAGCAAACTCAGTTAAGCTTTGCTGTGACTGACTTATGCAGTGGCATGATCCTTTAAGATAAAGAGTGGGATTCCCAATATAGCTATGGATTGTGAGGAGCCAGCATGGGAGCTGTTGATAGCAGCCTCCCAGCATATACAGGCTTATGGGAAAGAAGTCAAGGGGCCTGGGTTCGCTGGATTTCTGATTGTCTTTCCCTGTTGCCATTCAATTGCACTGGTGGGAAAGCCTGGCTCCAGCCTTAAAACAAATCTTAATTTGAGCCCCAGGTTCTCTGCCATGTTTTCTGGATTGTGTGACTAGAGCATTAGATGTATTCAGCAGTGCAGTCAGTGTGCATTATTTCTATAAGAAGAAATGCTGAATGCACAAAATAGTAATCATGGTGAGTTAGATGTCAAAGACACCACTAGATCAGGGCTAGCAGTGAAAAACAGCTTTGTTTCACTTTTCTCTTAAACAGAAGCCCGTATGTTGTGGACATCAAATTATTATATTTGGCAACAAAATTTTTATTCTGGGTGCCTTTTTTTTCCTTTTTTTTTTTTTTTTTAATTCCCTTTCCCTACATAAACTATTTGGCAAAAGCATCTCCTTTTCCAAATGTAATTTACTCCTCATGAAGAGCTGCAGTTTTAATGACAGTTTAGACATTGATATATTTATTAAGCTGTATTTTCCCTTTAATAAGTGCTTTGATGTAGAAAGTATGTTCTGTGTATACATTTTCATAATAACCCCTTTCCAGTTATCTGGGAGATCAAAGGCTACAGCTCTGCACAACTTCTGCCAAAAAAAAAAGATTCTTTTCTTACTTAGTCGTTGTAGACTGGCCCACAGTGTTCGGTGGGTCCTGGTCACAGTTGCAAACCCTCAAATTTAGTGTAGATTTTTTCTTACTTAGCCTTCATTTCTATCCTGTCTTTAGCATTGCAGTGATTCTACATTTTTATAAGTCACTGTAGCCATAGCAGGGCCCTGTGTTAAAAGAGTATTCCCATCATAGCATTAGCCAAGAGTGTGAGAAGTCAGCACACCCCTGCAGTGAGCACACACAGATGTGTCTATGGGCAGGGACCACAAATTAAGAATCTTGTATCCCAGACTTGGTGTGTGATGAATCCTGCTCCACTGCAAATCATTTAATTGCAGCAAATACACATTTTGCCAAAGGATTTGCCATCTCTGCCTTGCTGTCTGCAAGCCACAGCACTTACAGGACCCTCTTCCAAAGGCGGTTTAAGAAGGTTGACAGCAAACCCTGTAAAAAGATGGGGTCTTCTAAAAGCCAGGAGATACTATGCCTGCTTTAGTCAGCTATGTTTAAAGAACTGTTGTACATGCTCAGTGAATTTTTTGGAAATATGAACTGAAGAGATGATTACATATTTCTACTTTATCCCATGGGCTCAGTTTCCAGTAAGAATTTCCACAAGCCAAAATTTAGAAATAGGTTGTGGTTTTGGCCTCAGTAGATAAAAGGCACTGAAGCAGTTGTCTGAAATCCTTTCAAGAAAACCTTAATGCCTGCATGTCCAAAATAAACAACTAGCACAGATTGGAATTAGTAGGGTGGTTGTGACATGACTTATGGAGGGTTCTAGCACTGCTCTTCAGTAGAGTAAAAAAATTATTGAAAATACTAAAATCTTTTTACTGTTACCTAGACATGTGACACTTTTAAGAAGGATCCATCTCATTTCCACTCAAGTGTCTTTCAAGTTCTCTTCAAGAATATATGCAAATAAGTATTCAGATTTATTTCCACAGTTTGCTTCTACATTGTAAAGACTTAATCAAAATGGAATCTAAACTCTAAAATCATTAAATTTTCAGTTAAATCATCGTATTAGTGACTTTACTTTTAGCTTAGAAGATTTAGTATAATGGCTGCTGAGGGACAGGGATTGCTGTCAAATAGTGCATGAAGAAGTGGAACTACCCTCTCTGCAGCTCTTTTAAATGAGGTTTTCTGCTCAGTGTTAGAGGTTCTACATCTTTCGACCTTGATAGGGAATTCAGTTTATACTCTATTTTTCTATACTTCTGAATAAAGCTATTTCCTACCCAAACGATGAATTTCACCAGTAGGGTTCCGTGGTAACAACCTATTAAGACAAATTCTGATGAATTAGGAATGCAGTAAGAGTACCTTATTGCTGTGGCCATTAACACCTGCTTGTTTTCCCTGCAGAGTTCTTCCGAGAACTTCTGGAGAACGCGGAGCGGTCCTTAAATGACATGTTTGTCCGGACGTACGGCATGCTGTACATGCAGAACTCCGAGGTGTTCCAGGACCTCTTCACAGAGCTGAAGCGCTATTACACGGGAGGCAACGTGAACTTGGAGGAAATGCTGAACGACTTCTGGGCTCGGCTGCTGGAGCGGATGTTCCAGCTTATAAACCCCCAGTACCATTTCAGTGAGGACTACCTGGAGTGTGTGAGCAAGTACACAGACCAGCTGAAGCCGTTTGGAGATGTTCCCAGGAAGCTGAAGGTCCAAGTGACTAGAGCGTTCATTGCCGCGCGGACCTTTGTTCAGGGGCTGACAGTAGGCAGAGAGGTTGCCAACAGTTTTATACCCATGTTTTTATACCCATCCTAAGTTCATAAATAAGGGCAACAGTTGTTTTCAGTTCCTTCTGGGGATATTAAGGCAATACTGACTGCAAAGCACTTCTCTGTGCTTAGGACACAGTGAAATACCAATATACATCAATGTTATAGCATGGTAGTGATTGTCATTTGTAATTCAAAACTGGCTACATATATAAAAGATGGGGATTAGATCAGAATTCAAATGTTTCAAGGAAATTTATTCTGCTGTTCATTAGGAAAGTACAGCCCTCACAGCATTCATTCATCATGCAGCTGGGTGATGGATTTTGTTAGAAATGTCTAGTCATGTTTCTGATGAGAAAATAGACAAATAGTGACACCTCTGGAGCTTGAGCTTTCCCAAAGGATGGTTTGACTCACATTTATTTTAGTTTTAATTATTTATCTATGCAAATATTTATGACAATTTTAATCTTTGAGGGCTCCACATAATTAAAGAAAGAAACACATGCAAAAATAACCTATCTGGGTACCACAAATGTGCCTGAATGACTTTCTATTATACAGTATTTCAAAATCAGGTATATTTTTCTGAATTAGTGTTCCAGCTATATACTTGCTCTGTGATCTTGCTATTTCACAGTCCTCGTAGTGTATTTGGACCTTGAATTCTGAAATACTCTCCTGAGATCAACTGTGAAATGCTCAAATACTCACTCTGAACATAAGTGCATGAGTGATTTGTATTCTTGGCCCATCCAGTACTTTACCACATTTACAAGCCTAAGCCACTCCTCTGCCTCAAGAGGACTGTCTCATTTCCGTCATTTAAATCACAGCCAGAAGGTGAGGTAGAGCCAATACACTGCACAGTAGACTGCAATTCTAACACTCAACAAAATGGGGCTTTTAAACTTTTCTTAACCTGTATTATGTGATATTTTGCAGCTGCAAGTTGAGAAGCCATGGAGCCAGAAATGTAGTCAGGAAGGGAGAGCCTGATTTTATGTCTAGGAGACTGCATGGAAGAAAAATGTCATTTTGCAGTTTAAATTCAGTGGATGAGATACGTGATCCTTGTTAGTCAGCTAGAACCAAAGTCTCTTCCTCCAAGTGCCTTCCTGAGCTTCTGGGTTGCCTTTCTTTGATTTCTGGCACTGTCAGTTCTTGCACTCTTTCTGAATGGTGGCAGGATATCATTGTGAAACCCTGGGCTGCCTAGCCTAGCTGGGGGCAGATGCAGCTTTTTAGCCTCTAAATGTGCAGAGTGCATATATCTACAGCCCCATATTTCCTCTGAAGAGCAGTGCTGTCCTGTTGGTCAGGTTTTAATTGAAAGTACAGAGCTGTGATGTCACTGTTGTCAGCAGGTCTTGATGGATCAGACTGTAGAGAGTAAGCTATGTAATTCATGTGATAGACACATAATTTGTGAATCCCTCACAGATTACAGCCTGAACTGTCTGTTGAGATGTCACTTTCCCTGTGTATGTACTTGACTGTACAGAATGTGCAGCTGTCTCCTCTCTCACATATCCAGGAAATGTTTTCCTCAGCCTCTGGGCTTCGGGTACATAATTCAAGAAAAGGCTGTATATATAACAAGATCACTAAATGATCCTATGATCCTGTAATGAGAACTGCTAGCTCTGCAATCATACAGTGGGTCTTTTTGCAGTGTCACTTGAAGATGATAACAGTAGCTCAATAGTGCATCTGGTTTTGTTGTTTTGTTGGTTTTTTTTAACATGAAAGAAATGCTTGAAACCATTGTTAAAAGGGTTCAGTGGGTAGTGCTAGACACAATACAGACAGTGTGCTTTACTACAATATGAATAGTGATACTCCATTAGACTACATCTAGAACAGACTACATCTAGAACACAGTTTTTGGCCCTTCCTGTACAAAAAAGACATTGATAAATTAAAGCAAGTTCAGGGGAGGCTGCCATCACAATCTGGACTGGGTTACTTGTCCTGAGAGGACAGCCTGTGGGACTGGGGCTTCTTCATTCTGGAGAAGAGGCTACTTGAAGGGCACTTAGCAGTTGCTGCTTGTGCCCCTAGGGAGGTCATTATGCAGTGAAATGCAGTGAAGCTCTTCACAGTGGGACATGGAGTGATATATTAGGCATGAGTTGAAGGATTTCCTCTTGTCCTGTCATAGCAGACCCAAGTGAAAATCCCACCCCATCTTTCTTATAAATGCCCTTTAATTACTAGAAGGTTGCTAATAAGATCTGCCTGGAGCTTCTCTTCTCCAGGCTGAGCAGCCCCAAATCCCTCATGTCTTCAAAGGTGAGGTGCTGCAGCCCTCTGACCATTTTTGTGGCCCTCCTCTGCACCCAGTACTACAGGTCCACATCTTTCCTATGATGCTGAGAATTCCAGAGCTGGATTTGTTAATCCACATGGATTAATAAGTAATAGAGCAGAGTACAGGTGACCTGCTGGTCACATTTCTTAAGGATCATTATTTTATGATACTCTTAAAAAATTATTAAAATCAATATTTTTGCTTAAATGTAGAATATACTTTGATTACATTGCTATCTTTGGTATTAAAATCTCAGTGGCTGTATTCATACCCACAGCATATGCAAAACAATTTCTGGCCTTAAGGGACCTCGTGTTACATACAGCCTGGTGAGGCAGATATGAAGAGCCCCAAGTGGCACCAAATATTCAAGATTAATAATTGCCCTGTGGAAAAGCTGTTTTTACCCTGAGAATGAATATTTTGTTGTTATATCATAACTGTGGACTTTTATGATGGTTTATCTACTGTAGAAAATGACAAATCTTTAAACAAAATTTTAAAAGACTACAACCATTTCTTCAGTTACCACATAACTGCAGCCAAAAATGAGGCAGGTTTTTTAGCAGCAAATCTTTTGTTACTATTTTGAAAGTCATCCAAATTCAGCACAGATTTCTTTCTCATTGTACTCTAATATTGAGAGATTCTGTGATAAGGATGCCACATCTGGGTAAGTCAAGAGAAATGAATAAAGACAGAAAATGAAGGGAAGAGCTGTTGCAGTTCTTCTGTAAAATCCTTTGTCCATTCTCTGCACTGGCTGGGAACAGAGGGGAATCTTCTGCCTGCAACATCACAAGCTTAAAAGATTTTTTGCTTTCTATTTGTGGACCTATTATTTCACTGAACCGCCACTGGCATAGAAAAACGTTGAGCCTACACCTTAAACATCACAAGAAGGAGAGTGACTAACGAGAAACTTGGTAACAACAGCTCCTTCAGGCCTTTACTGTCTCATCGTCTTCTGGGCCATTTCTCTAGAGGAGTTCTGGTGGGTCACGCACGAAGTATTTGTTCCCTCTCTGATGTCAGGGACATATCCTTTCTAAAGATTTTTCCTCAGAGAGGTTGTAATGTCTGAAAACAATGCAGTCAGTGTATTCCTTGCAAAGGAGTTGCACTTCCTTTTTTTTTTTTGATGAAGTGTGCACTCAAGCACACTCCAAGTAGGCAACAGATATCGCAAACATTTTCCTCTTACAATAGGATTTTGCAGTTTAGCAATTTGCTTGTCAGTGAGATTATAATTTAGTAAGTCACACTTAGATAATTGGAGAGGGAGGGTGGTTAGGACATCTAATTTTTGTAATTTTTTCCTAATATTATATTTCTGTTGCAAGCAGGCATATTTGCTTGCATCTGCCTAAAGTTTTATTATGCTGTTTTACAGTTGAACAGTATTTCCATGATCTCTAAGTCTAATTACAGTTTTTAATCTTCAGAGATTTTAAAATCTTTTTATTTCTCATTCTAATGCATTAAATTTGTCAGCGCTATGTTGCTATGCTGCTTAAATCTCCACTCAGTACAGTATATTTCCACTGGCTTGAATGGACCAGCTTGCTAAATTCTATATATATTCTAGAAAGTTGTATATAGGCATATGAGCAAAAAAATAATTATTTCATAAAGTGAGAAAATTAATTCTTAATTTAAATCAATTTAATCATTTATATAGGAGAATTCCTAAAATATCTCAAATTGGAAGGACCCTGTAAAGATCATTGAATCCAACTCCCTGCTGCTTACAGGACTTACTAAGAATAAACCATATGACTAAAAGCTTTATCCAGATGCTCCTTGAATTCTGACAGGCTTGGCTCCATGACCTCTTTCCTGGGGAGACTGTTCCAGTTACCAGCCACCCTCTCAGTGAAGAACCTTTTCCCAATGTCCAATCTTAACTTACCTTGATGCAGCTTCAATATATAATATTCGGTATGCAACATCAGAACTGCCATTTTGGGTATGTCAAAGGTCTGTTTAGTTGGTTTTACCTCAGTGGCAGTATTTAAATGTCAGTATAGGAGCAGAGCTTCTCAACTAACTTCCTTAAGCTGTAGGTAGTAGATATTTATGGACATTTTGAACTATTTTGAGCTATTTTGAACTATTTTTAACTATTCAGAAATAATTAGTTAAATTTTCTAATTTCTGCTTTTTCAGTACTTTATTAGGTTCTAAAAACCTGGCTTTTCTGTTTTGATACCATTTGGTAAAAAAAAAAATAAAAATACTTCTGTCCTTCCCTGTCCCTCTAAAACTATAGCATATTAATGTGTTATTATTGTGGATGACATAAGACATATAAGACATTAATGTGTTATTATTTAAAATGTACTTGTTATTAACATTTTTCCTAGATATAACAAATAAATAAACTAAACAAACAAACAAACAAAAAGGCTTCCTGACAAGCTGTGATTTAGTATCTAATGTTAAGCTGGAGAAACTGACAGAAATATTTCTGAAGTTGCTCTTAGCTGTGATTACCAATAATGTGATAGAAGAGACATATGCATACTTTTCATGTTCATCTTTTACTGTGTTTGAGCTCTGGGCACTTTGTGAGAAAATAATGCTAAGTTATTCTCTCTGACTCTAAACAAAGCATTCTCAGTTATCATAATAATCCCTTTGAACTGTCACTGAGTGGTGGAGGGTGTAAGCAGAAAAATACATGGGGAATTGAAATTTTTAAACAGGAGGGTCCAGGATTTCCAGGA